ATACAGGCATATGGACGTGCAGCTGAAAACACCTGTGTTTGTGGCACACGGGAGCCCCAGCGGATGCATTTTTGCGCCCATAGGATTGTATAGATAGAATATGCTGCACATAGGTATACACACATAACTTCCACGATCGGGAACTTCTGCCCGTACACATGTAAGAGCAGGTACCTGCGTATACCTGTGTACAGCGTATTCTGTCCATACAATCATATAGACACAAAAACACAGCAGTTGGTGCTCCCAGGGGATGCAAATATAGGCGTGTATAGTGCTATATGTCTATACTCCTGTGAACATCTGTTTGCTGATCTCCCCTCCTGTGAATGAACCTGGAAGCGAGGATGAATTCATCCCCCACGTACAGGCACATAATTACAAAACGATGAATGCATCACATGTTACATATTACCATGCTCACTGGAATGATAGCAAAAATTCTAGGGCCATTATTCAGATGTAACCCTATGTGAATGAGCAGGACACCTTATACAGGACACAGCGCTTTACAGAATAAAGGGAGACAGTATAGTTACAATTAGGGATGCACCGATACTAGTACTTATACTTGCCCAAATGCTCCGATACCTTCCCCCGATACCAGAACTTCCGGTCAAAGGAAGATTTACTCTGACCGGCAATGCCGTAGGGGAACATGAAGCTGGCTTCCCGGGCAATCAGAAAAGCCGGATGGCGAATAATGACCCGCCTCCCGGCTTCCTGATTGCCCGGGAAGCTGGCTCCATGCCAGCAAAAGCACCGGTATCGGCAACTACTGAAAGCAAAATTTCGGTACTCAATACCGAAAAACCTGTATCGGTGCATCCCTAGCTAAAATACAATTAAAGACGAGGGTTAGGAGGGCCCTGCCCGCAAGAGCTTACAATCTTACATCCAGCTAATTCACCAACATTTCCCGAGGAGCAGCATGTACTCCAGCATCCGAACATATGTAAGTTAAGTGGCAGCATATTGAAAATGCAGAATACAACTTTTTTGAGCTTCCTTATCAGTCATTTAGAATGTGCATTGCATACAGGAACAATATCACATGAAGAGTTTTAATGAAATAACTGAAATTGACAGTAAAAATGTAGGGCTGCAGCTACCGATTATTTTCATCTATTAGTTGGCCAATTATTTTTTCAATTAAAAAAAATGAAATACTATCTTTTATTTAAAATAAACAAAGCAAATGGAGTGTTACAAACAACGTTTACTTCAGAATAAAACTGCATGCACACATCTTTGCAGTCGCACTGAAACACCCGGGCATTGCAGTACCACACGTGTGGGGATCGCACTGTGGGCAGGAGGTGAATTAAACATTTGAATTATTTTAATTAATTTAAAATAATCTGAATTAAAAACTCCAAGCCAATACAGGCAGTCCCCGGGTTACGGACGTCCGACTTACGGACAATCCATACTTACGAACGGGGTCCACAGTTCTCCTAAATGGCTGCAGCGGCATGTGTGCATTGAAATCCCCGCTGGCGGAGGCAGCAGGGACACAGACCGCTGCATACTGCTGATGCCCCACGTACCTCCGCTGATGTGCCGGCTTCCTCTTCAGCCGTTCCGTCGGCTTCCCGGGTCCGGACGATCCTCTGGTCTCCTGGTCTGGCCGCGGCTCCTCTGCCCCGCCCCCCTCCCTACTCTTCATTGCAGGCTGGGAGCCATACCCAGCCTGCTATTGGATATTGTAAAATGCAATAGCCAATAGCAAGCTGGCTATTGCACCCGCCCACTGTCTGCTGTCAATCAGCATGGGGGGACCTGATAGAGAACTTTCTGCTTCAGGCACCTCCTCTGCTGATTGACAGTGGGCGGGTTCAATAGCCAGCCTGCTATTGGCTATTGCAATTTGAAATATCCAATAGCAGGCTGGCTATGGCTCCCAGCATTAAAAAAAAAGTTTAAAAAAATTAAATTAACCACTTGCTGACCGGGGTGTTTAGACCCTCTTCCTGTCCAGGCCATTTTTCAGTATTCAGCGCTGCGGTACTTTGACTGACGTTTATTCCGTCATGCAACGCTGTACTGAAATGAATTTTATACCATTTTTTGGGGACAGATAGAGCTTTCTTTTGGTGGTATTTAATCACCACTGGGGGTTTTATTTTTTTACTATATAATGAAAAAAGTACCGAAAATTTTGAAAAAAAAACCTGTTCTCCCTACGTTATGTTATAAAACATTTATTATTACCCATTTTTTTGTTAAAATATAAAAGACAGGGTCACGTCGGGTAAATCAACACCAAACATGTCAAGCTTTAAAATTGCGCGCACCTGCGAAATTGCAAAAAACTACCATAACCAAAATTGACCATAGCCGATGCTTTAAAAGCTTTTACCGCTCATCAGTTTAGTGTTATCAGTGATCGATGGCCCTAGACTTATTGCTCTCATTCCGACATTCACGGCGATATGTAACATGTGTGGCCCAATGGATGTAATCGTCGTTTTCGCACGTAGGTGGACTCAACGCATGTTTGCGTGTGCATGTGGGGGCAGGAGACTTTAATTTTTGTATTTTTATTTTTTTATTGCTTTGATATGTGACTTTTAATTTTGTAATTTTTTTTGTAACTTTATTTTTTTAAAAAATTTTTTTCCACTCAACTTTATTGCTATCGCATAGGGAGCAAGCAAGCTCCCTATGTGATAGCCAATTTGCAGTGACAGGTCCTCTTTATGGAGACATCAGGGGTCTTCATGACCCCTAATGTCACCTAGGGACCCCCAGAGAAGCTGATGAAGCATAGACCTGCTTCACCAGCTTCTCTACGGTTTCTGTACCGGAGAGTGACACTGAATGTAGTGATGTAATACATAGCTGGCTGTTTACATTCAAAGTCGATTTCCTGCTCGTGCCCGCCGGCTTGCGGCGAGCACGAGCTGGACGAGATGGGACGTCTAAAGACGCCCACCCGCTCTCAAGAAGCCGCTGTCCGGCCCTTTAATTACAACGGCCGGACAGCAGGTGGTTAAAGAGACAAACATTTTTTTAAAAAAGTAAAGAAAAAGTTAAATAAATAAAAATTTAAAATGTAAACAAATACTAAAAAATAAAGTTTATAAAATAAAATTAAAAATAGAAAAAAACTTTTGTGTCATTTGAAATAATTTTTTTTTTAAATTATATTATAATCTTGTGAACAACAGGAACAGACAGCAAAAGATCTGTGACCCTTCCCTATGCTATCCAAAACTAAAAAATGTTTTTTTGGTTGGAGTTACACTTAAAAAATGTACCTGCTCCGACTTACATACAAATTCAACTTAAGTACAAACCTAAAGTCCCTAACTTGTATGTAACCCGGGGACTGCCTGTATAATAAAATAACCAAACTTTTGTTTAAAATAACACACCAAACTCGGACAAAAAATACAATTATATTTAAAATAATATAAAAGCCCGCCAGGAGAGTTATGCTGGGCACACACCTTACAACCATCGCAAGACTTTTGTCTTGCGATGGTTGTAAGGTACTTAAAAAAACGTACGATCTGACTATCTTGCATAGGCAGATTGTACTTGCGATCATTGCAAGCCACGCCCTCTGAGGGGCGGGCTTCCGATGACCTCAATGCCGAACGGGCAGTGTGTGCTTGCGCTGTCAGAATTCACAATGTTAGCGTGGATGGAACATGGATGGAGGAACCTATCTATGTGTATCTCGCTTACAGAACTCCGGACAAAACTTTTATTAACTCTTATAGTTGGGCTACCCCTGCACTGCAAGGGTTAACTGCTCATTTTTATCTAGATGCTAAAAAAGTTATACTCACCTGAAATGGGGAGACGGCTCCCTGCTTCTCTGGTCTCCTCCTACGCTGCAGCATTGGAAAGTTTCTCAGCGTCCTCATGTTTATGCACAGTGTATGGAACGTAATGATTTACTGGAGCTTAGACTGCTGCAGCGGTGGGGTAGAGAGGCTCCAGGGACCAGTCTAAGAGCAAGCCAGCTCCGCAATTCAGGTGAGTATAGCTTTTTTTCTTTTTTAACACCTAGCAGTTAACCCTTGCAGTGTGGGGGTAGCCCCACTGCAAGAGTTAATAAAAGTTTTTGCCCAGATGTCTTCTTTAAGAGTGGGATAGCCACAGTTGGGGCTGCTGTGTGCTCCGGTTTCCATAAAGTTGGATAAAGATCTGACATCATCAGAGTGTGTCTGCCTGCTTCCTCACTGAGGACTGGTGTCTACTGCACTAGTCTCCTATCCTCCTCTTTGTAATCTGGGGAAGGCAGCGCTGGCATGATTACATCAGCACTAGCTTGTAGTGGGTGAACGAAGCCCTCAGTCTTGCTTGCACAACAGGGATAGAATGACTGGAGATGTATTTTCCCAGGTGCCACAGCATTCATAGGAATGTATGGTATTCCCACCCACAACCCAGTGCTATTCACAGGCTATGTGCTAGCCTGATAGTCATGATGTCAACATGTAATAGCTCACTTTGCAAACACTTTTAAGCTAGAAAATTGTAATCTACTGGTGACACCAGAGGATCATGGGGCTTAGAAAATAGTTTTATTTGGAGTTCAGCTTTAAGTCAGAGGTGAACAAATTGATTTGGAGTTCAGGGGCCAGTCTGTCCAATTCAGGAGCCAGCGGGATGTTTTTAGAAGCCAGCTCCTTTGGCAACGACTAAAGAAAACCTCAGAAGTTAGACACCGGCTGTAATTTTGAAGGAGCATTGGCTACCCAGTTCCTGGGATTTGTCCAGCCCTGCTTTAGGTAAACTTTGAATGAGAACAGATCAGCACGCTACCATGACAGTCTCTGTTTACATTCCATAGCATGTCAGGGACATGCCTCAGGAATATCAACAGACTGAGATGAAAAGGCTGCAGCATCACATATAGAATGGGAAGAGGGATACGAGGGGTTAATAGGGAAGAGGGATAAGAGGGGTTATTAGGTCAGGCAGATAGAACAACTTGAATGGAAGTTGCTTTGGCAGTAGTCCCCGCACTGAATGACTTCTCAGTGACTGCATGGTTTGGAATCTGGACAGGCTTGTTTGAGAGGTATTTTCATAGTTGTTAGGCATATGTAATTCATTAGTCTCCATAGCCTGGCCACATGTTCAGTTCAGCTCCATGAAATGTGCCTCTTTTCACAGCTGTATGTGTAGCCCAAACTTGTATTTTTTAGTTTTAGATAGAGCAGAGAAGTAGTAAATCCCCTATTAGGTTGTTTTTTTGCTATCTGTGTCCTGCTTGGGGGATTTCCCTTCACTCCTTGTCTAGAAGACACAACTGGAAGAGGCAATTTCTGTAAAGTGAGGGGCATTCCCATCTTTGCACAATGGAAGATTTCCCCTCACATCTTATAAAAACTGTAAAATGTAGGATTCACCCTTAGTTTCGGTCTCTGTGTCTTTGGTCCAGGACCAGTTGAGGGGATACATGCATACATGTTAAATATTGTATGTGCTTGCACATGCACTGTAAATAAGAGACATGACCTCAGCAAGATGTTTTTACTGGTTCAGAGCAGTGTGCATTGTAAACTTAGTTGGGACAGTAAGGGATGCATTTCAGGTGCAGACAAAAACTTTCTGGTTCTGGATCTGAACCTCAGGGATGCTCAAAGGTACATATTGTAGTGGTGTGTTGTTAGATTGTTCGATCTAATTTTTACAATCAAAAATAGTTTTTTCACTTCACTCAAGACGTTACCGCCTGGGTCAAATAAAGTAATACTTTATCACATGATAAAGGAGATTTTTGCATGATTTTCTGCTCTTTACAGCTTTAGGTTGGAAATACTGTAACTGTATAACTTTGGGGGCCTTACTCGGACCCCTCTTGACTGGTAAATTGCAAGGCTAGCCCAGAATGTGACTTTCGGACACTGGGCTCTGCATTATGACACTTTGTAGGTTCATTTAGCCCTGAAGCATCTTCCTGATCCAGAGGTTGGGCTTCCTCCTGACAAACCTGCACCCAATTTGGAATCTTCTGCCCCGATGTGCTCCAAGATGGAGACTCTCATGGTTTAGAGTTAGGACCGCACTATAAGAGGTGCCTTGGCGCGGCTGTGCGGCTTTCACATTTTCTGCAGAAGACGTGTATCCAAACCTCTGTTATTATCCTTAGTGGTGAGACAAGTTGTTTTACATGCGGGCTTGTGAGTGTGCCATGATGCCTTTCTACTGTTCTACTGTTCAAAGCCCATTTCGTGTGCACCTTACTGTATAGCCGCTGACGAATTGCTTAGTGCGTTTGTCATTTGTTTTGCTTGACTATCTCTATCCTGTCTCTAAAGATTAATTTATTTACTTTATCAGCTGACTGCTGAGCATTTTTGGGATCATGAGCTATGGCACAGCCTCCGGCGTAACCCAGTCTCTGAATGCTGACTTAGTGAGAAAAGCCTGTCGGACTGAAGCATCGGAACCTTAAAGTTGGTACCATTGGGCGTGATTTCAACTGTTTTACTTAATTTTCACTAGGGTAGAGGTTAAGGCTGAGGGATTGTGCCTTGACAGTGTCTGCTAGGTGGGTGCTGCACGTGTGCATTCCACGCTCTTTCCCTAGATTGAACTTAGAAAAAGCACCAAGTGGATTTCCTGGTGCATTCCATTTCCCGCCTACACTGACTCATCTCATCAGCACACACTGTCCTTGTTTATGAATACTTGTGGCCTTGCCTCACATTGGGCTTATTTGCTTTACTGCCACTTGGCGCATCATGTTTTATCAAAGGGTAGCTCTAGATCCTCCTTCCATAAAGATTCTTTTCCCGCTATCCCCTGATGGAAATTACCCCTGTAGTCCCGGACCCCAAATGTTATAGGGACTACATTTGCAACTCCATCGGGCTGGACCGAGGCCTCCCCCCGTCTATGGGCACTTCTATGTTGACTAGGGGGCATCCTAACTGTTTGTGCCCAGCTACTGGAACATTCTATCCTGAGACTATCAGGGCTATTCACAAAAGGGTGGAGAGTTTGGAGAAGGCAGGAGAAGTGAAAAATCTAGGCCAAAATAGCTGATTTGGAAAAATGCTCCAATTCAGCTCACTTTCCAGTTCAGCTATATTGTCCTAGGTTGCTCACTGCTCCTGCCTTCTCCACACTCTTCACCCCTTTTGTGAATAACCCTGTGTGAGTCATAGCAGGTCTGCAGCCTGGTTCTGTTATCATTTCTGATTCAGGTTCAGAATCCTAACAGGAGAGGCTGTTTTTGGGTTACCACAGTTTCCTGCAGTTGGCTTGGATATACAAGGGTTATTTCAAACCCTATTGATGCAGTGCATATCACCCTTGATTTGAAGGATCGATCCGCTGTTATAGGCCTTGGGTCTTTTAGAACTCATAGGGCTGCTAAACCTTTTACACCTGCTGTTTGAGGACCTCCTCTGTGCAGACTGGAAACACCCTCAAGGGTCCTGGGCCCCACCTGAAATTGTGCAAGAGCATTTTTCCTTTACAAAGGGGTTCACTAATAGGAGTTCCATGCCCAATGTTGATGCTCCAGTCAGTGGCGTAACAATCACCATAGCGACCCAGGCGGCCGCTATGGGGCCCGAGGCACGGCGGGGCCCGGCCAGGACATCTCCCTGATGCCATGCGGACCGCCTGGGTCGCTATGGCATCTTGCTCGGACAGCCAGGCTGCTGGCTGTCACTGGCGGCTGTGAGGAGGAACGCTCCGTTCCTTCTCACAGCCGCTGCTGAGTTGGTGACAACCAGCAGCTTCGCAGGAGGTGGCTGGGCCCGTCATCGGCAGTGATCGAGGAGGCGGGGCCCGGCGATCGAGGGGCGGGGCCCAGTGATCGACGGGGCGGGGTTAGACATGCAGGTAGCCCCTATGGATCTAGTGGTCCCCGATTTGAACCCTCAGTCTCTTAGGTTCTATGGGGTGGTTGCTTCCCCTCATTGTGGGAACAGTCCTGTCTCAGGGCTGTCCTCATGTCTGCAAATCGAATTCCCTGGAGTAGTCAGTGGCTTGCTTCTTTGGGAAATCCTGCTGCAAGTAGATCCCTTGGCATGTACGCCATTGGACTTCCCTTTGGTGCTTTAAGACTTCCACCTCTGGGAAGACTTTGGAATTCTCCCTGTGACAGGGTGAGTGACCTGGTCCCTATACTGACCTGGTCTTAAGCATGTTACTCTCAACTGTAGAGTTCCCTTTAGAGATACTGTTTTTGCCTTCTGGGCCTCTCCATCCTGTAGTCTTCATTCTGGGGACAGAGATTTATCCACTTGGCTGTGCTTTACCTACTGCATTACAGGAAGAAACCATTGCTTATGGGCTTGGTGTTACCTTGGATTGTCAGCAGACAGTTTATGCTGCAACCCCGCTGAGGATACTCCCAATAGAAGAAATGGGGGTCTTCATGGGATTTGATTATTTGGAGTCGGCCCTTTCTACTGTGATTGATTCGCAGGAGAAATTGTTAGCATAGGATTTCAGGATTGCTTGAGTCACATTTTTCCAGTGAGATAATTTATTATCTTTAGTAGGGATGCACAGATACCGGTTTTTCTGTATCGAGTACGAGTACTAATATTTTGCTTTTGGTGCTCGCCGATACTGAGTACCGATACCGGTGCTTCTGCTGGCATGGAGCCGGCTTCCCTGGCAATCAGGAAGCTGGGCGGCTTGTAACTACATACTGCCCGGCTTCCTGATTGCCCGGGAAGCCAGCTCCATGTTGTTTGGCCGGCTCGATTGTGATTGGGTGGAAATTCATGTTTGTTTTTGCCACTTTATCTGTTTTTTGTTTTTTCTTTCCATTAGCATGGCTACAAAAAGAAGACAAATACATGCATTAGTTAATCAAAAAATATTTAAAGAAAGTGAAGAATCTACAGTTCAGAGAGAAAAGGATTCTGTCACTAGCAAATACTTCCTAAATGAGAACATTCGTCTTTCATCTGACTTTTATGAAAAGCCCTGCATTGATTTGGCTAAATCTTTTTTAGGACAGGTAATCACCTTCAGATATTAAATAGTTAATTTAATTTAGTACTGTGGTGTATTGTTCTATATTTTGTATTTGTTTAAAATTGTAGTGGAACTGTACACAATTGTTTGTTCAGTTTTTGGGAAATGAGATAGAATGGTTCAACTTGATTCATTTGGTGAGTTGTATTTAGGTTTGCTACTTAAATCACAACTGTCATTGAAATAGATATGCAGTCAAATAGACATTGTATAAACAACCTCCATTTTCCTGTTACAGTAGTTGTGCAGGGTGTCTAAATATGACTGTGCAGTCCAATAGGCAACATAGTTAGCCCATGTACCCATGTAATCAGTGTTCAGTAATACATTTGGTCTGACAGATAAAAGCATTAGATGCTGACACATTGGTGGAAATGTATTAACTTAGTTGCGTATCAATGAAATTCTCAATTGTACATTACAGAACACAGGATGGTAATTCAAGAACATTGGGTTGGGCAGATTGGACACTGTCAAACACAAGCTGCAAAGACAGCCTAGTAAAACCACTCCCTTGTCCCTTTTCCTAGGACACAAAACTGAGGAATAATGGGAAATCTCTCTGCTCTGAGAGAAGCAAACCCTTTCTTTTTTTTTCTGCCTTATCAAGATTTCCTCAGTTGCTGTAGAGCCACTGGGTCTCATTTTTCATCTTCTGGATCGGCTGATCCTTGGCATAGCCTTGGAGGTCGTACCCAGACTCTGATGTGAGAAAGAAGCAGGGTCAGCCTGTATTGTAGCCTTAAGCCCTGGAGTCTTCTAAAGGTGGTTTGCTAGTCACCCTCTGTGTAACGTGGGAGTTCGCCACAGAGTGCTTTACAGATCCAGAGCTTTGCTGCACCTGAGGTGGATGGGGTATGTCCCCTTCTTCCTGTCTACTGTCTCTAACCTGCCGGTATACATGTATAGAACCCTTTGGGGCAAATTTTAGTCTGTGAAAAACAGCACAAAGAAATGCCTTTTCTGCACATGCCCTTCGATGGGAAATGTCTAAGTAAAGCTCCTTAAAGCCTAAGCCTGTAAGCCCCGGACTCCCAAACCCTCTAAGCTGGGGAGCAGGTCCTCCTCACAATTAGGAGATGTCCCAACTTGTCAGAGTGTGGGCAATGTCTGTTGGCCTTTGTCTTTGGTCCCAAAACTATTGTGGATCTGAAGGTCCTCAACACCCTCCTTCAAGTTCAAAAACTATTTTGCATGGAATCTGCCAAATCAATCACTGCTTCCCTGCATCCGGGGGATTGTCTCGCCTCTGGATATAAAAGATGCGTAAAGAAGAACTTAATTCATAAATATTCTTAACCCTTGCTACGCGTGCACTGCCATGGTTAAGTGTTCGTTTTTGTCTTTGGATGAAAACAAAGATATACTCACCTGAACTTTGGCTCAGGGTTCTTTAATTATATGCCCCATCTTTCAGGTACACAAGCAATTTTCTAGTGCGCATTACCAATTAAATTTTCGAAAGTGCTGGTCCCTTTATTTGCTCTGCTTTGCTCTTCAGCAAAGCAGAGTCTATTCAGTCTATTCAGACTCTAAAGATGTTCAGGTTAATCCTGAACATCCATAAATCCGCGCTGGAACCCACTCATTGCTTGGAGTATCTGGGCCTTCTTTCAAAGGAGAAACGCCACAATCTCAACCGTCAGACATTGTAGTCCAGGAGCCAACTGACCCTTTGTTTTTGAATGAGGGTCCTGGGTTTAATGATGGCCTCCTTTTGAGGTAGTGCCATATGCCCAGTTTCACTGCAGACAATTGCAACTCAACATTCTGACAGTGTGGGACATGGAGGCTTGGTCTCTGGACCAGCATATACTCCTGAACTCCAAAACCTGTGCATTCCCAGTGACTCTGTGTGATCTCAACTTGGTTCTGTTGGTTCTTCAGAAACCGCATTTTGAACCTAATCAAGGATGTCTCATTGCCTTCCTCATTGACATCACCTTGGGGAGGCGAGTCTCTGAGTTGGCAGCCTTAACCTGTAAAGAGCCTTTTCATGTGCTACATAGAGGTAAGGTTTTTTTTTTTGATGCTCAAAGCCCTTTTTTTTCCCAAGGTGGTTTCTTCCTTCCACCTTAACCAGGATATTGTCTGCCCATCTCTAAATCCTGCTCCTTGACATCCTAAGGACATTTCCCTCCATAGTCTGGATATGGTACATGTTCTTTGAGTCAATTGCTCATCTTCAGCTTACTTTAGACAAACTGACTCTCTTTCTGTAATTGTGAAGGTCCCCATAGGGAACAGCCTACTTCACGTTCCACCATCTCCAGGTGGATTTGACAGCTCATCTTTGAAGCCTACAGATTGAAGGACAAGGTTCCACAGTCAAAGCACATCTCGCTAGATCAGGTAGTGCTTCATGGGCTTATCCGCATCAGGCGTCTGTTCTTCAGATTTGCAAGGCTGCCACCTGTTCTTCTCACACGTTTGTTTTTACCAGGTGGATGTTCAGGGCTCATCTGATGCCAACTTTGGTCATAAGGTGCTTGAAACAGCTCTGTAAGGTCAGTTGAGCCCGTGGTTCACATGTGCCTGTTAGCAGTTTGTTTTGTGTGTTGCCCACCCCTCTGTTTGGCCGTGATGTCACCATTTTTCATGACCACCTGACTACCACAGCTGAATATGGGTAGAACATGAAAAATGGTTTAGAGGTTTAAAGGTTAGTCTTTAAATTTTAGTTTTGCAAGAGAGCATGTTCAGATAGTGGCTGTATACCACTTTTCTGAGTTGTGCTGCGTCTGTGAATATGTGTTCAGCAATTACATTTAAGCTTAGAACTATTGCAAAACTTAGAAATGCTAAGGAGCACTTTTTAAACACACACAGATTTGTTAATTTTAAACAGTGGCTAAATCATTATGCAAATATCATACAAAAAATAAATCTGCTCCTAATGCATTAAAAATAAAAGAAGGCAACAGATTAGCAACTGGAAACAATAAGATACTTTTAATAGTCCCCTATTGTGTTTACATGCGGTTATTCCACTCTGCCTTTAAAGGAGAACTATGAGGTGAGTGCTTTTCACTCACCTCATAGTTCTAGCCGACCTGTGACAATGAGACTGTCACAGGTCGGCTCAGTAGATCGGGGAGGTGAGCGAACACATACCGGCGTTCGCTCACCTCTCGATCCTGTCACGGCTCTCTGCCGTGACAGGGGAGGGGCTGGATTCCCCCCCTCCCCGATCCGCCAGCGCTGACTGGCGGAACGGATGGGGAAGGGGGCGGGTACAACTGGCTCTGCCTCTAGATAGGCAGAGGGCAGAGCCAGCTGTCAGTCACGCAACTGGGCAGATCCCGGCACAATTGTCGGGATCCGCTTCAGCTGCAGCATCTCAGTATACCGCGAGCAGCAGCTCGCAGTATACTGCGGCGTCTCAGTATACTGAGCCTAGGGTGAAGGGAGGACGCTAGTTTGTGTCCTCCCGTTACCCTAAGGAGAACTATAGGGAAAAGCCTTAACCCCATAGTTCTCCTTTAAAAATCACACATTTGCATCCTCTGGAATAATTATGATGGTAAAGTATGACACTTGTATCCCTTTCTACAGCTTACTAACAGATTTTAATCATAACAATTGAAACTTTTTGATTTTGATCAGTGTAATGTTAGCTCACAAATTGGTTTATTTTTCTTACAAAGTCTGTCTTGAGGAGTTTTATTCCTTAGAATAGGTTAAATAAGTCCCAGGAACAAGGCATCCAAATCACCTAATAAATATACCTGTGTCTAATGTATGAAAGAAGCCTTTTCTGTTATCAGAAAGACACATTCACTGGGTTCTAAAACTGTCTGCTGGCTCCTAGATTGGGCTAACTGGATCTTGAATGCTAAGCTAATTTAATCTGTAGAGCCAGATTTATTTCCTTGTTTGAAATTTTATTTTTGTTTATCAGATTTTGGTTCGTAAGCTGCCAGATGGATTAGAACTTCGGGGCAAGATTGTTGAAACAGAGTCCTATTTAGGAGGTGAAGATGAAGCTTCACATTCAAGAGGCGGCAAGCGAACAGAGAGAAATGTTGCAATGTACATGAAGCCTGGGACAATTTATGTGTATCAGATTTATGGAGTATACTTCTGTATGAATATTTCCAGTAAGGGTAAGCTGTCTTTTGACTTTTTAGATTTAGATTAATTTTCAGATGAAAGAACAATGTCCATCCGGGTTGGGTAAAACTTTGCCTTGCTAAAGCCAACCATCAGTTCAAATTCCTGATACAGCTGGTTTTTCCCCATGATTTTTAAAAAAATTTTTTTTTAGAAACAGTAGAACAAAGTTTACTTTGAGTACATACATGACTCTACAATGAGCACATACATGACTCTACTATGCTGTGCTTGTCTGTTTGTATATACTGTATATTTCTTTAAAAGCCAGTTTGTTATACTAAAAAGTACCTTTGCATTGCAACCAAGAGTCAGCCATTATTTGCCTACTCATCTTCAAGGATACCAGAATACCTCTTTCCATCTGGACAGTAAGCAGAAATCAAGACAAAAAGCCCCACTGGAGCCTTCTGGCCTGTTATTGTGGTCCACCAACTTGCCAAAGTTCTGATCATGTTTACTCAAGTTCCATGTTGAATTCCCCTTTTTTACCTGTCCCCAAATCTCCTTTATGATTGAGCGGCCTACTAGTCCTGACCATCCTTCAACCTCTAGCTTAATGTATTTGTAAAAGTACATCATTAGAGGTTTTCTGTAACACTTGCAGAGTGTCCGAGAACTGTGTCAAACATATTTCTTCCGGTGGGGAAGACATCACGTCTTGTTTTGGTGTTAGGTGACTTGGCCCACTCCAGGTGGTGGGTGAAGACACCATTACTCGGCTTTTAAGAAATCTTTCATTGCTTGCCATCTTTCCAGTGCTGAATTTTCTTCAGATGTCTTTTCACATGGTTAGACATCCAGGCCAAGCAAGTTTACATATTCTACTTGCTTGAATGCAAAATGGCATGTAGGAAAAGAAGTACAGTACTTTTTTGTTCAATGTTTTCCAGGTTCTCAAACATTCCAGCTACCATTTCCATCTGGAAAATAACATTTGTCCCAGATATTTTTCAGGACAACAAGGATAAATGCTTCTATCACCGGAATTGAAAACCCTATTGCCATACTGGAAAATGGCAATCCTTTAGACCAAACTGATGATTTGTTTTTTTTTTTATCTTTCGAAGGAGCTTGACCCCTAGGGACCATGATGAACGGGACTTGAATATCTGATGTGCTGTCTCCTCCTTCACACATGTACTTAGAAGTTGGGTACCATGTCCATCCTGAGGTCCTGACAGTCCCTTCCTCTGTATAGGCAGAAAAGTGTAGCCCTACTCCTCTTTCAGAGCCTTGAAAATGCCAGCACTGGGATGTAACTTGTCCTATTGATCGACAACTCTGGTGTGTGTGTGTGTTCCCTTTTTTTTTTTTGGAAGTGCTGGACTAGCCTCCAGATCTTCAGTGTTCTGGGCTGGGCTGGTCTGGTGCTGGGACAGAGTGGATGTCCCTGACTTAGAATGCATGGGGCCATGGCCATTTGACTAGTGCCTGGCCAGTCATCAATGCTGTGACATTGGGATGGCCTATAACCCTGTTAAATCTATGATTTGAGCTACTCATAGCTTAGGGTAGCGGAATGGATCAGTAGGGGAATGATAGCAACGTATGTGCTGCTGGGAAAGGGGGATTAATCAGAACCTATTGCTTTGTGATATACAGACTCCTGAAAAAATGCCTTTTTGGAGCTTTTCCCTGTTTTTATATTTGCTCAGGTAAATATTCTTCATTGTTCTAGTAAAACGTCTGTCTCTTGTTCCAGGGAAGTTGGAGTTTCATTGGATCTGGGGAGTCGGGATCATTCTTAGCTCTGTGATGCTTTGAGGCCAAGGATAGGCAGGATTGTATTACAGCAGGATCCCTCTTAGGGCTCACCCTAGAGTTGTCTCTTGGATAGTGATGAGTGTACCTAGCTTCTTCAGGTCCATTTATTTTTCTTGGTTCGGCAAGCAGAACTCCTTGTTTTTATTTTCACTTGCAGTAGTGAGAACTTTCTGGTTCAACATAGCATCTTTGTTCTGTGTGGACTGTTAGATCCAAAACTATTAGAACAAATGCTGTTTTGCACTCCTATTTATTTAAAATTTTGGTTACATACCCACTACCACCCACTAACGCATTGCAAATTACATCTAAATAATGCTATAGAAGGCTAACAGTTTTCAGAAAGTCCTCTAGGGGGGCATCATTGTGCTTCAGATGAGCCTTGCTATCTTTTCTTACACATATCAAAGGCCAGATAACAAAACTTGTCTGTTAGTACAGCTGTCAATGCTATCTTAATAAGAGGCCTGGTGATTCTACAGATTTGTTGTCAGCTTGGTCTTCCTTGGGTCCTTGCTTTAAAATGGGATAAGAACTATTAAAACAGGATATATATATGTTCTGTAGCACAGAATCAGTTAAACTATAAATATGTTGTTATCTTAAACTGGATATTTGAATTTGCTAATAATAAGTTCATTTAGAGGCAGGATGCCTAGTGTATCCAGCCAAACAATTGAGGACCACATCCTGGAAATTGTCAGTCTTGCAGCTTAATTTCACTCTTACCATCAAGGATTTTGACAAATATCTGGAACTCCCAAATCTGGCACTTCATTGATAGCCACCTAGTGACATAACTACCTACTACCATCTGACACAGTTTGCCCATATACCTTTTACTTTATTTCCTGAGTCTAGTCTTCATCTGATCTTCCATCATAATCTGGTATAAATCTTACAATCTTATTGTACAATCGCCTTTAGATCTATCAATATGTATGTAGTGCCTGCCTAAAACATTTTGGCTTTGTCACCAGTGAAGTCTTTCAATTAAATCAGAGACCTTTAATTTTGTAACGTTTTAATCTTTGTTTGTGTATGGTCCACAGTCTACAAGTTCCCAACCGAACTCTAAGGACCAAGTCATACTAGCCAGTGTTAGGATCGCTTTGCGGAAAAGGGTAAATACTGACCCATTTCCCACATGTCACTCCCTCACTGTCTAGATGAGAAAGCAGTCACTGATGGAAATGTTGCAGAATGTCACTTACCAGTAATGGCTCGCTCATCCAGCCAGTGAGAGGCCAACATGTGGAACAAGGTTAGTATTTGCTCACATCTACATAGTAATCAAAGTACTAGTGTGAAAGCTTGGGGTGATATAAAGTTTTGCCCAGATATGGGCTTTAAATATATACTATTTAATCATTGTTTTGTTTTACCTACAGGAGATGGTGCAGCAGTTCTTTTACGATCTCTAGAGCCTATAGAAGGTCTTGATGAAATGAGGAACTTAAGAAGTGTTCGAAGAAATGCATCAAAGTCATTAAAGAACAAAGAACTTTGTAATGGTCCCTCAAAACTCTGTCAGGCTTTGGATATTAATAAGAGTTTCGACCGTGGAGATCTAGCCAGTGACCCAAATGCATGGTTAGAGGCAGGGTCAGATGTAAGAGAGGAGGACATTGTATCTTGCGCACGAATTGGGATTGGTTATGCAGGAGAGTGGAAACACAAATCTCTGCGTTTTTATATTAAAGGTAATCAGTATGTCAGTGTGCGGGATAAAGCTGCAGAGAGTGTTATGACATCTGTTCATACAAGTTTACTTGTTGATAACAAATGAACCATATTTACTGTGTCTTGTGCATGAATTGGGACTGATTTTGCAGGAAAGTGAACACATGAATATGCATCTCACTATTAGTCAGAAGGGTGTCACACTGATGGGGGAGGGCGGGGGGGTAGCGTAGTGTTATGTTTGAGCTCTGACTTTGGACTCTGAAGGCACCATTTTCATGTTGCAGTTTCTGTAATTTTTTTATTTTTTTTTTATAATGGTAACTTTTTGTGATAAGTGCAAGACTAAACATTTTACATATGTTTTGTAAAGCTCCTGTATATAAAGATAATTCTTATAAGCCTGCCCACACATTTGCATTTCTCTACTGTAAAAAGTATTTTTCTGCAGGAAAATTCAATTATTGTACCACTTATGAATAGAAAATGCATCTCTCTTCAAACTAATAAGCCTAATTCTAAGTGCAAATTGAGATGGGCATATAAGAATACAATCTTCTCAATATAGTCTGATGAAAACAATGGGTTTAACAAACAAAATGTGCTGAATGTACCGCAGTGGCTGATGGCAATCAGTGTTCAAAACAGAGTAGAAGAACTTAATGTGAATAAATCCCCAGGTAACTTACACCCACAGGTACTTCGAGAGCTAAGCCAAGATATAGGGAGACCATTGTATCTAATGTTCTAAGACTCCTTACTGACTGGAAGGGTACCAATACTCAAAAAAAGATGTGTACCAGGGAACTACAGACCAGTCAACCTAACATCAATAGTATGCAAATTATTTAAGAGAATATATATTTAAGAATTTGCCTGTGGTAATGGTATCATAAGTAACAACCAACATGGATTTATGAAAGACCGTCCTTGTCAGATCAACCTATTTATCTTCTATGAGAAGGTGAGTAGCAAATGAGATGGAGGAAAGCCAGTTGACAATAATGTATCTGTTTTTTGCCAAGGCATTCCATAAATTACCTAATAAATGCTTAATATATCCACTGTGATCTATGGGTGTAGATCAAATGGTGTGTACATGTATGGAGAACTGGCTCCAGGAATGTAGTCTAGGGTTGGAGGTGGCATGCCCCAGGCTTCTGTCTTAGGGCCAATGCTGTTTGATCTGTTTATGATATTAATAGCCCCATTTCAGTGTTTGCTGACAATACCAAAATGTGTAGGGTAATAAACTCGACACAAGACATAACAGCATTACAGAAAGACTGTGACAAAATAGGGGGGTGGGCAACTACATGGTACATGAGGTTACCTATTGAAAAATATAGTTATGCCTTAGGGTGTTAAAATTATGCATGCACATTAGGGGGAGCTCCTCTAGGAAAATCAGAATTGGAAAAAGATTTGGGGTTCCTAGTTGACTGCAGACTTAGTAGCAGCATGCAGTGCCAGCAGATTATTTTCATGCATAAAAAAGGGTATTTACTTTAACTGCCTCCGGGCCGGCCGTAGTAGAAAAACGGCCGCCCCGGAGCGGGTGTCTTTAGACGTCCGCTCAGACGTGCGCGCCGCTCGCGAGCGGGAAATTGCAGTTTTTAAAAAACAGGCAGGGGTGCCTGTTACCATACAAGCGATCCGTGCATGGGGTGCCGATCGTTTACCAAAATAAAGCTCTATCTGTCTCCAAATAATGGTGTAAAATTCATTTCAGTACAGCGCTGCATGACGGAATAAACATCAGTCAAAGTACCGCAGCGCTGAACACTGAAAAATGGCCTGGTCAGGAAGGGGGTCTAAACACCTGGTCCTGAAGTGGTTAAGAGACAAATCCATAATTCTGCTGCTATATAAAACACTGATTCAGCCACATCTTGAGTATGAGGTTCAATTTGGTCAGCAATCCACCAAAAGAATGTTTTTGTGATCTGGGATCAGTAACTTATTCACCAATGAATAAGATGAATGAATACTGCTCAGAGGCCACCCCTCCCATCCTGAATTTACCCCTTTACTCTGCTGACCAATTGCTGGTATGTATATAGGCCACACCCTGTATAGTAGCTGGGGCAATGACACTGCAAATCTTATGAATGGAGGTTTGCTGACAGCTATGTAGGCCCCTCCTATTGCTTGACAATTTTTCCCAAGCACTTACAAACATCGTGTTTCTGAACAGATGCTTGCAAGTCCCTGTACTTCCTGTCCAATACAAGATCACAAAGGACAATGCATACTCCAGCAACTGTTCATCCACTAGCTTAGAGGGAGTCAGGGGGAGGGAAGTAGCTTGATTTGCTGTTTGTGGGGAGACAGTTTATTAGCACACACAAGGGGTGACTGCACGACACTGCTTGAGAAAGGAGTTTGTCTAAAACAGGATTTCAGGACCAGTGCTCAGAGGACCAGCTGATTCTGCAGGAAACTCTTAAACATCAAGGAGCAGCTTCCATTGTAAGTGATTTCATCAGCATTCGAAATGGATTAAAATCCTTTTGACTTTAATATCACTTTAAGACACTTGCCGCAAGTTATCATGGGAACTGTAGTTCAGAGTGGGGCAGGAAGCTGACATATTAGCCAGGGCTCTGTTTGTTTTGCACCACCCTCTACACTATGCTGTATACTACATACTGCCACATTCTGTGTAAAGTACCCCGAGGTGTTTAAGCGATGTTCCATAAAGCTGCACACTGTACTCTACATTCCATACCACACCACTCTGTAGACTGCTTTATGCTTCACATTACCCCACTTTTTAAGTTGTCCTTTTCATTCCATGCTGCCCCATTTTCTACACTGTGCTGTACATCATATAACAAAATTAGTCTCAAATTGCACCCAGGCCCGGCCTTGGGGTGGCAGGGCGCAGAGGGCACACTGCAGCGGTGTCCTTGTGGGGAAGTTGCCCTCTCTACATTCAGTCCTGCTTTGTACAAGCAGGACTAAATGTAGAGTGAGGCAGACGATTTTTCGTTTACATGTGAAATCGCCAATGTCGCAGAGATCACATGTAAACAGTCTGCAGCCTCCTCCCCCCTGCACTTACCTCTCTCCTCTGGTTCCGTCCTCCGCCGCTGAGTCCCGAGTCTCTGACTGCAGTGAGCAGAGCGGCAGGGTTAAAGGTAACCCTCCCGCTCCGTGTAGACAGTGAGAGGGGAGAGCTGTGCTCTTCCTCTCTCACCTGTCACAGTGCTGTGCTAGAACTACTGTATTGGAGGTGACAGGGTCAATAAAGAGAACCTGTCACCTCCAATTGCTATTACACAGGGGATTGTTTTCTCCTGTGTGATAGCAATAAAGTTAGGTGGGAAAAAAAAATTAAATTGATAACAAATTTAATTAAAAAGTAAAAAAAAAATAAGGTAATTAAAAAGTAAAAAAATTATTAAATAAGAAAATAATTATAAAAAATAAATAAGATAAAAAATTATAAAAAAGTAAATAAGATAATAAAAATCAAAAAAAAATAAAATTGATAAAACATAATGCTGCTCCTTGATGTTTAAAAGTTTGTTTCCCGCAGAATCAGCTAATCCCCTAAAAACTGGCCCTGATATCCTGTAGGATACTAAGTAACTTTTTTTTTACAAAACCAACAATTTCACATAAAAATGTGTGAAGTAGATATGTTTCCACATGCTAAGTACCTTTATAGCACTAAAGAAAAGTCAAAGAACATGGTTTTGGTGTTAATGGAAATCAGAGCTTTGAGAAAAACAACATTTATTAAATCTACAAAAGGTCTGCACTTTGTATATACAGTATTACGGCGCATCATTGTGTACTTTATTATAGGAAGCTTTGTGAAGTGTAGCAATTATCAGGTTTTAGCCTGCATGGGTTTTCTAATCATTTCCAGCAGTATACGAATAGCAGCACTCGATACAATATTTTATAAGATGATAACGTTTATTTAAAGTATTTTTTCTAGTTTTGTATTCAATAGGGAATGGTTATAACCCCTGTCAGGCTTTTTTTGCTGTCCGTGTAACATTGGGGACTCTTAGAAATGAGGGGTAACCCCCTTCGTAGACAGTTGTCATTAGAACAGGTAACAAGGGGAA